ATAACGCGTAACTCTCACGCACATGTTTATATCTATATATGATATCGATAACGAAGAAATTGTATATATAACGTCGATTTTTTAAATCAAATTTTTTGCGCATCTCAAGCGTCTTTTCTCCTCTTTGATTAATGGTTCCCGCACGTAACAACATGTTTCTCGTTTGCGTTACCGTGGGACTTGTCTTTTTGGCGTCGAAGTATCGTAACAACGTGCTTCGCAGCGTCAAGCATCTATATAAAAATATTAAAAGTCGCGATGACAGTAAGGATACCGATAATACAGCCAAGCGCAATAAGTATGATAGTGATAATAATAATAATGAGGATAATGACAACAAAGAGATTAAGCTTATATTAGACAAGATTATTCTAGCCGACTCTCCGGAAAAATGCGATTACGCCGTACAGCGTATTCGTTGGTAAGCAAAAATCGAAATTTATTATTGCTGATTTTGTCAATCATATTCTCAATAAGCACTATTTTATGATAATCCTAAGATGTTATAACAGATATACATTGCCTTATGACTTTCCATAATGTGATGGAAACGGCTGTTTTCATAATTATTGTTTACATTTTTTTCTGGAAACAGTCAAATACTAAGATTCTTATTGTATTTGAAAGGTAATAAGTATAAAGTGTCCTTGGGATTCTCTGAGAAAGATCTGGATTTCATATAGCAATAGCTGGCAAAATTAGCGATTGTTATACGAAAGAAAAACTATTTTAATTTTTACTTTATAACAGAATTTTCTTTTACCAGAATAAGTTTTGTTATTAATTCCTTCAGACGTGGCACATATTAATAATGCACATCATTTTTTGTTGAAATTACTTAATTTTATCATTGAAGGTTATATATATATTTAAAAAATAATTTAAATTTCTAAATAAATTAATTGTTTAGTATAAATTACTTATTGAAATGCTTTTATATATTGAATTGAAAAAAATTAAAATTGTTTTTAACTAAATCTTTTTAATGGTTCAATTTAATTTAGATATAAAGGAATTTAATTACAAGGAATAAAATTAATTTCTTTAATTTTCTTTTTTAACATAATACACTTGTTTAAATGCTAAATCTTGTAGGGGCATACATGTGAGAAACACAACCAATGAAAAATTACCTTTAATGGTCTACGAGCATCAAAATTGTTAAATTGATAGATACTTTAACTCGTGATATTATTGCGGTAGTTTCGTAGAGTGTAGCGTTTCAAGACCAAAAAATCGTTCGTCGCGCGGTTTAAAAGGTTACATATGTAAAAAATATATATATTTTCACACAAAATTATAATAGCATCTAAGATCCAAGCTAGACCGTTAAAGACAATAATACACTTGTCCTACTTCTATCCCAGATAGCCAAACCTGCCAAAAACACGCATTGCAAATTTATGCTACATATTATAATAGCAAAAATCGAGCAGCAGTCAAACACGGTTTACCGTTTCAATATAGCGCTAACAGAAATACAGCAAAAATAGAGCAGACCTGCATCATAATACACTAGCAAAAATTCTGTAAAAATTTATCAAACGTTATCGAAATAAAGCAAGCAAAATACGAGCATTACATGCTGGCAAAATAAATTAACAAAAAATAGATCAAAACTTGATATAAAATATGATTACATGTTAAATTAGCAAAATGTTGTTAAAAATCTGGCACACTTATTGTCATATTATGACAGCAAAAAGGTCGAAAAAATACCGCATGACCTGATATAATTAAGTTCTGATAGCAAAAACGTAGCAAAAATCGAGCACAGCCTGCCATCACGTCGTGACGTTTTTGCTGTTAGTACTTGATTATGTCAGGTCGTGCTGTATTTTTACCGCGTTTTCGCTGTCACGATGTGATAGTAAATAATGATTGATTTTTGTTGTATTTCTATCATTGTGTTAAGTTGGCAGGATAAACTGTTAGAAACTTGTAAGCTTAATGAGGAAGCAGCAGCTTGATATCTACTGTAACGTCATGATCAAGTTTGCTGGTATACTGCTAGCATTTTGCTATCTGGGATGTTGTTTTTCTGAAATCTGTTTGAAACATACTCCCTCAAAGAAATAGTAACATTATTTATGATCTTTCATTAGAACAAAGTTAATTTGTATATGTTTCTTTGATAGTGATTTGTCTGATGGTGTACTGGGTTTCGATTGCGAATGGGTCAAAGAAGGACCTGTTTCTCTCTTACAATTAGCTACTCACAATGGAGTAGTTGCTTTATTTCGCATTGGAAAGATTGGATACATTCCATCTAAACTTAAGGTAACATTTCATAAAAAGTTTAAACTAGATTAATATTATTATAGTTATTAATATTGAGTTTTTTAATTAAATTTGTGTGTTCAGGAATTATTAGCTAGTAAACACATCCTTAAAGTGGGGATCTCTTCGTTTGAAGATGGACAGAAGATTGTAAAGGATTATGGATGTAGAGTTAATGGAACTCTTGATTTAAGAACTCTAGCTGAAAATTTTAATCTACCAAGCCGGAAGAGCTTAGCCGCCATGAGTTTAGAATATCTTAATATAGAGATGGACAAAATAATAGAAGTCAGGTGCGGTGACTGGAACGCTAGCACCTTAACCGACGAACAAGTTGCATATGCCGCTTGTGATGCGCTTGCATCTGTTATCATTTATCATAAGGTGTGAAATTTAAAATACTTTTTTTAAACGTAATTATTGTAATGATTATAAGTTATGTTTCTCATATCCAATTTTGTTTCAGATAATGCAAAAAGAGAAAGAAAAGTATTCGTTATGGCAGAGAGTAGGAATTTACTTATATAATGTATTGAGTAGTGATATAAATGTGCGGATTCATGGTGTACCTGCTAGAACAGTCGATACAAGGTATAAAAATTTATAATTTATTTAAAATTTTAGAGAGAGAAAAGTATACATAAATAATATACATCTGTTTAAGGTTTAAAATTCAAGGATCACCAAGTGCGGACAGTATTACTAATAATAATGTTTTAAATGCTAAGAATAAATCAGTAGTAATAGATAAAAACACTATTAACGATCGTAAAAATGCGATACCTACTAGAATTAAGCCATTATATCATAATTGTTATTTACAAGCACCTGATGGAGATATATTGTGTACATGCGATCGCAAGAAAGCAGAATGGTATATTACGAAAAATTTAGGAAAACTTGTAGAGACCGATCCGTATACAGTCAGATTAAATTTTGAGCCATCTGGCCGAGCATTAGGAGAAGTTGGACAATATTATACACAAGTAAAACTCAACCAATGTGTAGTCTGTGGGTGCACTGAGAAATTTATTAGAAAAAATGTTGTGCCACGAGAATATCGAAAGTATTTCCCATGTAAGGGTTTTTATCACTTATCCATTATATAATATTAAAAATAAAAATACATTTATATTGAATATGAATATATATATATATATATATATATAGACACATGAAGATGTATATATCTATATACAGGGAGGGGCATTTAAAACAGGTTACCTGAATAACTCGCTTGTTTTTGACAATAGAAGAAAAAGTGTCAAACAAAAGTTGCTTGGTTTCGAGGGGCACATAATGTGATATCAATAATTGTTTTTTTCGTGGAGGCGCTAAAAAGATAAGGTCACCTCCACTTTTTTAAATAAAATTATGTAATTTTTTTTAGATAACGTGATTCCTCTAATTATTTTGCATATAAAAGTATTAAGGTAGAGATACCAAAAAACCAATAGTTTTCCAGATATTTTACACTTTATTTTGATACATATTGACACAAAATGTTAAATAACTCGTAAACTATTGGTTTTTTGGTATCTCTACCTTAATACTTTTATATGCAAAATAATTAGAGGAATCACGTTATCTAAAAAAAATTACATAATTCCATTTAAAAAAGTGGAGGTGACCTTCATATTTTTTTAGCGCCTCCACCAAAAAAACAATTATTGACATCACATTATGTGCCCCTCGAAACCAAGCAACTTTTGTTTGACACTTTTTCTTCTATTGTCAAAAACAAGCGAGTTATTCAGATGACCTGTTTTAAATGCCCCTCCCTATATATTATATAGATTTATTCATATATTTTTTATCAAAATGGACATTCTTTTCAGTGGTAATGAAAGCACATCAATCTCATGACGTGTTATTATTGTGTCCTTCATGTCACGAAATCAGCAACAACCATGATCTGCAACTCAGAAGAAAGTTAGCAGACATGTGTGATGCACCGTTAATTGGGCCAATGACACATGTACGAGACAATTTCTTGCATAATCGCCGAAAATTACACTCTGCTGTTAAGGCCTTGAGAGAGAAGTTCACGTTACCTCCTCGACAACGCGAAGAGTATGAAAATTACATACTAGAGCATACGGGACAGCAGAAAATTACATCGGATCTACTTAATGGTTTGAATGAACAGTTGAAGAATGCATTGATTCAAAAACCGATATCTAACAAATATCAACCACATGGCTTAAAGGTACTGATTTTAAAATACAAATCATTAAACAAATCTGTGAAATCTTTATACTATTCAGTTTAAATTTATTCAATAGGTAGTACAACATTTTCAAAAACAAGAAAGTGGACTCGTCGAGTTGGAACGTATGTGGAGAGAACATTTTCTTTTCACAATGAAACCGAAGTATTTGCCAAGTTTATGGTCTGTACGTCACAATCAAGAACGGTTGATCATACGTCAAGCACAAAATAGAATCGATGTGGATGATGCAAAGGCGGCTGGATTAATTCAATAGTGCTAGAATTTTTAATTGAAAAGTCTCGTATAAGAGCGAGAACTTCACACACACAAAAGACTGTTATATCAATCAATATATCTCCTATGAATATATATATACATATGGCTATATTTTACTTTTATTTATCTTCATGTAACAGATACAATAGCATGAAATCCACAAGTCATATTCCTTAATATAGAAACTAACATTTTATTTTCCTAAAACTTTTAAGACATTTTTTGTGTGCACTCAAAATATACATTTTAAAATTAATGTTTTCAAGATCATATTACATATTTACAAATTTCTGTTGGATAAAGAAAAACATGCTATACTTTGAAATCACGTTAATCAATATCAGAATCTATTGTTTATTATGACATATGTACACTTGTCTAGACTTAGAGTAAGTAAATTTAGACTACGGACAAAAATCTCATGGCTGCTTGGAAGTTTCCCAACTGCTCGCCGAAACTTTCTGTGACATTGGTGGTGGTGGTGGTGGTGGAGTTGCCTTTTGATTTTTTAATTCTTCATCAATACGTTCCTTGGCACGGACAATCTTGGATTGCAGATAGAACGAGCCACCCTTTGATTTGTCATTAGCTTCCATGAGATACTTGTAGTTTCGATCGACCAGCTCCGTTTGGTCAGGATGTCCCACGTTGAGGATGCGTAGGGCCTCTTCTAGGGTGAGACCGGTTCTGGTATTGGCAGCGATGTGTTGCGCTCCTTGACTGCCACCGCCCGCCCGCCGCGCGGCTTCCTGGCTCGCCGCGATTTCCTGACGTAAAGCGCGAGCGAATGCTTTGCCAACGACCTGTGTACCCATTATGATGATTTGTATCAGGTACTTCGCCATGGCTTAACCTCACCGTAGGCTTCGGCACCTTGACGTGCAGACGAGCTGTCACGCCGGGTGTTATTTATCCTCTCGTGCCCAACCGATTGGCCGGTCACTATTTCAGAGTTGCGTTTTTACACAAATTTCTACTCCTTGCCACACATCAGTAACACGATGCTCGGCTACCACGAGGAACCTAACCTAGATCGTGATTACACATGGCAATCGTAAGCGACGTAAAATCATAGGCCCGTATTCAGAACGCGCTAACATGCTATAATTTATAGTCATGTATACTATAGAATACATAATTTATAGTCACGTACGCTATAGAATTTCAAAGATAAAAGCGCGCTTATCAATAAAAGTGCGTTCTGAATGCGGGCCATAAACTTCCTCCCTTGGTGCCGTCCCATGGGATGCGGAACTGCGGATATAGGGTTGCCAGATGGCTAAACCTGAATTTCCCCATATTCGACATGAGTTTTCCCCAAATTTCCCCAAATATGGCAAAAATTTTTCCCCAAATTTCCCCAAAAAATTAAACTGAAAGAAGGAGTGAAGGGAAACTGAATCTTGTTCAAACAAGAAATGTTATTCGCGTTGAAATTCTGAACAATTTTTGTACTTCAAGTAACATGAATATTCGAATTAAAAAAGGAGAAAAAGATGATGATGATGATTGCATAAAGCGCAAACAATGCAAACAACCTAATGTTTAAAAATTATATATTAATAAAATTTCTTATATATATACATATATATATATTAATAAAAAATTAGTTTGGATTAATAAAATATTTATAAAAATTATATATTATATATTTTTAAACATATATATATATACAATAAAGTTGCACATACAACATACAATTTACGTTTGTATAACGTCGTCTTAGTATATCTTATACTATGGCTGTGTTCCAAAATGGACTGCCAGTACTGAAAATCTATAGTTTACGTCACGAGCACTATAGATTTTCAGTACTGGCAGTCAATTTTGGAACACACCTTATATACATGAAAATATATCTATTATTTCTTCTTGACCAGTTTCTGTATCATCGATATACATATTTTCGGAATTAAACTTTTTTAACATGTTAACGGTTGGCTCAAAATTAACACATCCACCTTGTGGCATGTTGCATCTTATCCGCATAATTGCATTTGTAGTTTTTACAGCTATTCTGTTCCTTAATTTATTTTTTATTATATTCATCATAGAAAAAAGGCGCTCGACTGAAGCATTTGAAAAAGGCAAACATAGCATCGCTAAAACAAATCTTGCAATATTGCCAAATTGTTTTTGGCCAACAGAATTCTGATATTCAAAAACTTCAATCCAGAATTCCTCTGGAGTAGATAATTGATTCCACTTTTTCATATGGAGAAGATTCCACTCATCTACAGTTGTATCAATATCTTTACATATATTTTTAAATGCTGCAACTAGTTCAGTAATGTTTGGCTTTATTTGTGATGTTGCTAATTGTGGCGAGAGCAAGCTTATTTTTTCTAATAATTTGATATTGTCAGGAATTCTGGACTGCAGTTGTTCACATAAACTGATTAAGAAGTCACGACATCTTTCTTTGATTACTTTGAGCTCGTAATTATTTAAGCCAGAAGTTGCTTGTTCGAAAGAATATCCAAAATCAATAGCTTCAACTCTTATTACATAATCTTTAAATTTAAAGTTAATAAGATCTGTTTTTTTTATTTCTAATCTTGCCGGAGGTAAAATAATATTCATGTAGTGATATAAAAGAGAATGCAAATCGTCCAAGAGTTTAAGAGGATTAACATTTTCTGCTTGGAACATTTTGTTAACCTCTGTAACATTTTTTAACATATGCTTTAAAAAAGTAAGATAAACTATATTTGATTGTGTATTAAACATGTAATAAAGTTGGTCAGCCATGTAACATCTCTCCTTGTCTTTTACTATAGAAAAGTGGAGTTTTAGAGCATCCCATTGATCAATTATTTTATTTATTGCCTCATATCGTGCTAACCATCGTGTGCCTGATAATTTATCTATTTTAACAGGTTTCTTATCTGTTAAGACTTCATACAGTTTTGCATATTCGATTTGACGCTTAGAGCTATAAGAAAACCAATTGTAACTTTCTTTAATAATAAAATCTAGATTTCTTGGTAAGCACTTGCAGGCATATTCAGCTGCTAAATGAAGAGAATGACAGATACATTTAACTATTACAAGTTCATTAATAGTCTCTTTTAAAATAGAAGAAAATGAATGATGTTTACCAGTCATAACGTTAGCTCCATCAATCCCTATACCAATTAAATTTTCTATTTTAATACCATCATTTAAGAGTTGATCTTTGAAAGCTGTTATTAATGAATTAGCATTTCCACTTTCAATTTCTATTAATTGATAGAAAGTTGTTATGATTTTCTTTTTCGATTCACTAAAATATCTAATAATAAGACAAAGAATTTTTTTGTTATCCACTGCTGTGCTCTCATCAATAATCATTGAATAATATCCATTACCAAGATCATTAATTAAGTTTTGTAAAAGACAAGGAGAAATAACGTTTTTTATTAATGCAGTACTTTTGGTTCTGTGTAGTTTAATTTCGCTTAGTACTCGAGACGTGTTATCAAGAGATTTTATTAAACTTCCCAGATGGTCGACAGAATATACAGAACAATGTTCTGCAACAAATGCGGAAATTTTCAATTCCACTATTTTTCTTTTATCCGATATAGTTTTTATTGAAAAATCTGTTATTTTTTTCTTTGAAGCTAGATCTTGAGAATACTTAAATGCTTCAAGATGTTTTTTTGTTTGCCCATGTTTTAGGAGATCCTTTTTCTGAGGCTGAAGTGAACATCGGCAAAGCTGGCAATATGCTTTAGAATTATCATCCGGCATGGGAGAAAGCCATCCTATAACAAATATTATATAAAACAAAGACAATATAAAGAGTAATGAGCCAAAAATAAATTATAGCACAACGATGTTAGCGTTCTAACATGCTATACTTTATGTCACGTATGCTATAGAATTTCAGAGATCAAAGTGTGAATACGGGCCATTGTATTTATATTAAAATAACAGACGTGTTTTGACACCGATCGGGTCATTCTCAATGTTGATAAACAACAGTGTAACAATTTAACATATAGCATCTTATTTAAGTAAATTGCAAAAGGAATAAAGTTAGATACAAAAGAGAACTCGTTTAGAGTGATGTATCTCCGACGAATTACCACAGCATAAATATTATATAATTATTAAAACTCATAAGTTAGGTTAGGTTAGGTAAAAGCGGCATTTCGGTCAGATTCAAAATACTCATGATTGAATAGAAAGGGTTAAAAAGAACATATAAAGCACATACATAGCTAATAACGAGACGAGATATTAATAACTGAAAGTAATAATTAAATTAATACTTACCAGAAAACTCTGGAAGTAATTCCCAGGTTTTTCTGTAAGTCCTTTTTAGTTTATTGTTAGACATATGTACTTAAACTTTGGTTTGCATTAGCTGATTTTTCAGCAGATTGAACTGTTTGCATTAGCTGATTTTTCAGCAGATTTCTTGCATTCGGTGTATTCAGCAGATTCAACTGAGTGAATTTCAACGGCCTCTTTAGTTTTTCACCAACTATTGTTTAAATTAATCGATGATTAACTCATAGAAGTGCCAAGCAGTTTAATGTATCACAACCAAAGACATAGAGAATGGACTACGCGATCCGTGTGTCAAAATGGTCAACGAAAATAAGAGAGAGGGTCCGTGGAAGACGGCCATCTCCCTCTCATTCTCTCTTCCATTACACCATCGAATGGAAAAAGATAGAGATGCCTCACAACGCCTCCTCTCTCTTCCTCTTTCGAGAGAAAATGTGTTTAGTTCTCATGTTGGCAATCGTGATGATTGATTGAAGCATCGAATAGCGTTAATCGAAGTTGGTGAAAGAGGCCCATGACATATGATTTTCTCCCCAAAAAAATCCCCAAAACAAAAAATTTCCCCAAACTTTTCCCCGCAATTCTTCGTCTCCCCAAATCGTCCTCGTTAGTTCAAAAATTCCCCATTTTGGGGACAAAAATCCCCTATCTGGCAACCCTATACGGAACTACGGAACGTTCATGATTGGTCGTGACGTCATTCCGCCGCAGTGTTGCCAGATACCTTTGTAGATTTCCCCCTAAAACAGTCTCGGATTCTCCCTAAATCTCCCTCAGGAGACTGAAAAAAACCCTAGATTTCTCCCTAAATGTTATTCCGTTTATTTAGATGTTTTTCTGGCTGCTTTCGTCAAGGCTTTTAGGCATATATGTAATACTACTATATGGCTAGTGCCTATAAGAGGGAGTGAGAGGAAGCGGTCCCAGAACCACGGTGCGGGAATATATATTTCCCTCTCTTTCTAAGAGTACTTTGAGTGTTGTGCGCATGCGTTGGATTGATTGCATCCGCCAATAGGAAAATAGAGTGCGATCAGTGAGATGACGCGAACAGGTTATGCTCGTTATGCTTATTAGATGTGTGCTGTTGTACACAGGCAAAAATGGTCAAGATATGTTATTTATGTGGCAAAAAGCCTAATGCGCCTAATGCGACTGAAAACATTAGTTTGCATAGGTATGAAATAGGTATTAGTTTGCACTGATTATCATGAAATTTCTGTAAGGGATTGCACTGTATTCTTATATACATAACGGCAATCTTGAAAAAGTTTATTTCATAAAATTAGGATTAATTTATTTATTCCGACTAAACTGACTCTGTTAACTGTAACAAGGTTATACCCTGAAGCGGAATCAATCACTTTTTCCTTCTTCCTTACACATATATGTATATTTATCCTTCTATTTATTATTGATGGAGGGGATGATCCGACGCATGCGCACAACGTTCAAAGTACGCTGAGAAAGAGAGAGAAGTATATTCCCGCACCGTGGTTCTGGGACATGGACTTCTCTCTCATCTAGCCATATAGTAGTATTAGGGTCTGCGCACAATAGGAGAAATATTAGGAACAGATATTAAATATGAGAATTTTAACCTATCAGAACTGTGTACTGTGGAATGTGCGCTTTCTGACAGGTTAAAATTCTTATATTTAATATCTGTTCCTAATATTTCTCCTATTGTGCGTAGACCCTTACATATATGCTTTTAGGCGACACACATCGACACAGTGTCGAACGCGGTGCTTTCCAACAACGACACACATCGACACAGTGTCGAACGCGGTGCTTTCCAACAACGACACGCCATGACACGATTCGACACAGCAGAAAAGCATAGTCGGACACTCTTGGTTATGGTTGCTAATTTTCGGTTGGCGCTTTAGAATATTTACATTTTAAATATATGTACGATATAAGAAGTACGTTCATAAGTCATCTGGATTA